GGGGGGGGGGGGTTCCCAGGATTTCTGGTCCACGGGTTTTAAAATGATGAGTTTGGGGGTCCCTGAGGTCCAAAAGGTTGGCGACCCCTGTTTTAAGGCATGAAAAACCATTGAAGGATCTACTTTTTGTATGTTGACTTCACAAGATTTGGGATGGAAGGCAGAGGGAAATACAGAGCTTCATCGGTTTAAACCGTGAATCGTGGCTTGATGTTCCAGAGAAACAACTGGATTTTCGTTGTATTTTATCCGCTGATTTTTTTTTCTAAAGTATAGGTGGTCCTCAACTTACAACCATGTATTTAGTAACCATTCAAAGTGGGGGGGGGGGGGGGAGGGACTTATGACCAGCTTTCAACACTTACGATCATTGCAAGCATCCTCGTGGCCACATGATCAAAATTCAGACGCTTGGCAACTTGATTCGTATTTACGACGGTTGCAGTGTCCCGGGACGGCGGTCACATAACCCCCTTTTGCGACCTTTTGACCAGCAAAGTCGACGGGTGGGATGGGACGGAAGCCAGCTTCGCTTAGCGACTGTATCTCTCTACCTGCCGCGATGCATTGAACAGACTGCGGCCAGAAAGGCCATTAAAATGGGGGCCAAACTCAACGAGTGTCTCGCTTAGCGATGGGGACGTTGGGTCCTCCATTGCAGTCGTATGTCGAGGATGACCTGTGCAATGTGTGTTTTCTGCAAAGGGAGCGGAGCTGCTGTGTCAGAATGGCCGAGGAGAGTGCTGGCAGAGAGACGGCGCCATTTTGGGCTTGTTGCTATGGAAACCCATCATTTCTGAGCCACCTCAGGCCAGGCCAGAATCCTTAATGCCGCTTGCCAAATATTTGCCAAATGTTTTGACTCTTTTTTTATTCCCCCTGCAGATGAGTTTAACCGAGTGATCATTCCAGTGAAGAGAGGCGAAGAAAACACCGATTATGTAAATGCTTCTTTTATTGACGTGAGTGTTAACGTTCATGCATTTTCTAAGACATCCTCCCTCAACTCATAAAATATTTCTATGGTCTTTTTTAGAGTTGCCAACAGAAAGGGAGGAGGGGAAAGGGGTTTTGAAAGAGCACTGCGGCCGCTTGGAAATCGAAAGCGCATTCCATACATAGTTTTTCAAAGATAGTAACTTGGGTGACTGAAGTTTCGGCCGCAAATATCTAACTGGAGAATATAATGGATGTTGTGGTTCGCTGGCAGCCGGTGGAGACGGCAGTGGAATCGGACAGTGGGGAAAAACGGGGACCAGTCCGGGAGTCTGGAGAGGACTCGGGTGAGGGTCCTGCATCCGATGCAGAGATGTGGCCAGGACCATCTGGGAGTGGGGTGCTGCCTTTGGAGCCTCCAGGGTCTGACAGCAGCAAGGCAGAGGACCAGGGGAGCCTGTTCCCAGTGCGCGTATGCACAGAGCTACCAGAAGGCGAGAGCAGCTGAGACAAAAGTGGTAACTCAGGAGTAAGGCTGGGAGGTGATTGCCCCTCCCCTAAGGGATAAAAGTCAGGCCAAGGTGATGAAATCTTTGCAGGAAGCAAAGTCGGTTGATCAGTTCAGAGTCATTCTTGAAGCTCTTTGTACTTCAGTTGGGTTTTTTCCCTAGTTCATTGGACCCTTCTATTATTGGCAGCACTTCATGGGAAAGGAAGGTGGGTGCTGATCTCGAGGGACTGTTTGGAGATTCATTACAGGCTGGGAATGAAAACAATTCCCAGCGTTGCAATAAAACAAGGCTTGTTTTTAAAACAAACAACCCTATTCAAAGCTTTTCTTCCAGCAATTGAATTTTCTCGGCTCGTATTAAAAAAATTGTGAGCGATGCGTTGGCCTGGAGGTGGAGCTCTCTCACCTCACAATCAGGAGGCTGTGAGTTTGATCCCAGGCAGAGGCAGATATTTCTCTCTCTGGGCACAATGTGAATGTACCTGGCCAAAGAAAACTCGGCATTGGCAACAGGAAGGGCATCCGGCCAGAAAACAAGCTCAGCTCCATTCAGTTGCCCAGATTCCACCCCAATGCAAGAGATTATGGAGTCGTTAAAAGAAAGTGATGATGATGATGTCAGGATTCTGGCAGTTACCCCATTTAAATCATGAGTCTCGAGCCAAACTTCCAAAGGATTTATTGGGAGTTAACGTATCTGGCACTGCCTGGGTGCAGCCGACGCTGAGGCACATCCTTCCTTGTCACCTTTGACCCTGGTTTTCCCCTCCACCCCCTGGGTGTATCGTAATTCCTATTCTCCAATGGGACACCCCCATAGCCCAGAGTCATCAATGGTTCTGACCAAGGCTTCCGAGACCGTACACCAGGGGTGTCCAACCTTGGCCACTTTAAGACTTGTGGACTTCAACTCCCAGAATTCCTCAGCCAGCAAGCAGGGGTGTCCAACCTTGGC